TCTTCTTCTTCTTCTTCTTCTTCTTCTTCTTCTTCTTCTTCTTCTTCCCTCCCTCTCTCTCTCAAAAATATGGAAGGCTTCACAAATTTTCATGTCATCCTTGCTCAGAAGCTGTGCAAATCTTCTCTGTATCTTTCTGATTTTAGTATATGTGTAGCCAAAACAAGTACCAGACAGGTTCTAGAAGGGAGTCTGACAGTTCTTTTAAGAACTTCTTAAGGAGACTCAAAGGCACTATTTATTAATGCTTTTTTGGTAAACTGATACAGAGATGGTTTTTTTTTAAATGCCCCTATTTTTCTCATTATAAATTTCCTTATAGCAAGTATAAGTCTTAGTGAGAAGATTATTGGATTTTCTGTGTGTTCAGAATTGGCATGTAATCCTAAAAAAATTGTCTGGCAAACAAATGTAAATCTGCATATTGCCTGCTACATGTACCTTCAGGACTATACACTTTAAATTTATCTAATCCTTTAGGCAGGAAGGTACTTTTACATGCACTATGTCACCTGATCCTTAAAATTGTCCTTCAAGTTTTGGAGGGCAAGTATCTTTATTCCCATTTTATGAATGAGGAACCTGAGACTCTAGGATAAGTGTTCTTAACCTGGGGTTTGTGAATGGTTTTTAAAAAAAATATTTTGGCATACTGTATTTCAATATAATTGGTTTCCTTAGTAATCATATGTATTTCTTTTATGCATTTAAGATAATTATTTTGAGAAGGGGTTCATAGGTTCACCAGACTATTAAAGGGGTCTGTGACACAAAAAAGATAAAGATTAACCCTTGTCTAAGAAATTAAATGATAGTTTTTAAGCAGAGGAGCTGGTTTTTGGACCTAAATCTTCTGAGCTCTCTTCCAATGCCCTTTCCACTACTCCATGCTGCCACTCAATATAGGTAGAATAACATCATGGCGATAGCAAATGAAAATCTCTTTAAGCCAAAGATTACCTCCATGGACCAGTCAGAACCTTCTGAAAATGAAAAGATTTGTAATTTCAGACTGGAGTAGAACTTTTGGTTATTACACGATTTTAGTAATTTCTTCCTCAAGATGAGGAGGACTGGGAGTGAGGTTGAAATGGGGTCTAAGTGAAATTTTAATGAAATAACTGTAAGTGAATCATCATAAATCAAATTTGTACTATGGCATTCAGTCCTTAAGAAAGAGTTCTTGCAAAAATACAAAAAAAAATCTTTGGGGTTTCAATCAAGTTGAAAGCATATGAAAAACAGTTCAAGATGTCTAATAAGCCAATTTTGTAAAGGACTGAAGGGGTATTCTTGCAAAAAAAGACATGCATGTAAGGATGACAGCTTTCTTTTCAGGATTTGCACACACAAATTTAAGTTGTCAACTATTTGCACTGATAATTAGTCGTTACATAGCACTTTAAAATTTGCAAAGCTCTTTACTTATATTACCTTATTTGGGCATCACAACAACCCTCTAAGCAAAGTCCAGTAAGTATTATTACCCTCTTTTACAGATGAGAGGGCAGCTAGGTGGTGTAGTAGATAGAACACTGGGCTTGGAATCAGGAAGACTCATCTTCATGAGTTCAAATCCAGCCTCAGACATTTACTAGCTGTGTGACAAGTCACTGAATCTGTTTGCCTCAGTTTCCTCATCTGTAAAATGAGCTGGAGAAGGAAATGGCAAACTACTGCAGCATCTTTGCCAAGAAAACCCCAAAATGTTGTTATGAGGAGTCAAATACAACTGAATAACAAAATTACAAATGAGGAGGTTGAGGTGTAGCATGATTAAGGGTCTTGCCAAAAGTTACACAGCTAGTGTCAGAAGTGGGATTAGAACCCAGGAATTCCTGATACCAAGTCCATCTATCCACTGTACCATATTACCTCTCATGTATAGACCTAGATGTAGGTATAGGAATAGACATATATCTTCATGTCAATTCAACAAATATTTGTTAGCCAACTATTTCATTCAGAGTACAGGGTTACATTCTGAGAGGTTTGAAGGTTGAAATAAAATACTGCCCTCTGTCTTCATGAAACTTACCATCTAGTTGGCGTCTGTTACCTGTCAGTACAGGTACAACCTCCTTTGAGAATCCTCCTTTGGAAGAGAGTGTAACCCATGTGATTCTTCTAGTCCTATGGGGTTCTAATGCCTTTAATATTGATGCACTTCAGTTTTTCCAGGGGTGTTTCATCTCAGTAAGGTAGGTGGCACAGTGGATAGAATGCTGGACCTGAAGTTAGGAAGACTCATCTTCCAGAATTCAAATCTGGCCTCAGATCCTTACTAGCTGTGTGACCCTAGGCAAGTCACTTACCCTGTTTGCCTCAGTTTCCTCATCTGTAAAATGAGCTAGAGAAGGAAATGGCAAACAACTCCAGTATCTTTGCCAAGAAAACCCCAAATGGGGTCAAGAAGAGTTGGACACAACTGAAAAATGACTGAACTGAAATTCAACTCACTTGTTATTGGAAAAAGATCTTACATCAAGGGAATGATTAACAGTTCAATTATTCTTAGTGCTTTCTGCTCCCTCTTCTGCCATCCTACTACCATCAATGTGGATTTAGAAAGGAGCCATGATTGAGAAACATTTTGTATTTTTATCTGCTTTGGGGGCAATAATAAAAATAATAACAATAATGATGATGATGATAACTAGAATTTACACAGCACCTTAAAGATTGTAAAGCACTTTACAAAAACTTCATATTATCCTTACAACAACCTTGGAAGGTAGGTACCATTATTATCCTCATATTACATATGAGGAAACTGAGGCAGAGAGAGGTTAAGTGAATTTGCCTAGGGTCACACAGCTAGTAAGAGTCTAAGGCTGGATTTGAATTCAGGTCTTTCTGACTCCAGATCTGGTGCTACACCAAGAAGCTACCACCATGGCCAAAGAATTCATTACCTAGTGACCATCCTTCTCCATACTTAAATAGAATAGTCCTCAGGTCATAAATCAGGCTGCTATGTCTGGAACCATAATTTAAGCCTTTTTGAAATTCCTAGAAGGTGCCAGTTTTTGTTATTCACTGACATAGCTTTTGATAACCCAGCATCATCTCTAGACTGTGAAGAAGCATCAGAGTAGGACTTACATGGATAAAATTTAGACTTTAAAACAAATTCTAAAAAATGCCATGCAAATAATAATTGTTTTTAAAATCTTAGCACAATTAAAAAGTTGGTAATCTGTTCCAATCCCCCTCATCCTGACTTTTGTCTTGCCACTGGACTTCAATGACTCTGGAAGAGAGGGTGAGGTTGACAACTTGGTGCAACTCTGCCTCATTGAAATCCAATTCACACGCAAGTCAAGCCATCATCCCGTGATGTCATTGTTCCTCTTTGAAAACGAAGGACAAAAAACAACAATATACTTATGCTTTATATATATATATATATATATAATATATATATACTTATACTTTATACTAAATATGCTTTATATATGTTATTTCATTGATTTTCCCCAAAACAAAATAAGGTATGTATTACAAGGATTATAATCTCCATATTATGGTTAAAGAAATTGAAGCTTTGAGATATTCTGTGATTTGTCCGTGGTCACACAATTCAGGTTTCTCCTGACTCATAAGCCCATTTCTTTTTTCTGTTTCTTCCCACCAAATGTTTTTGTTTTATATTCATAAATACTTTTATATAAATCACTAAAAGTACCAAATATGGAAAAGAAACTTCTTTTCCCTTCATTGGGACTCCTTTGAATATAAATGTCTTTTTAAATCGTATCTATGGAGGCAAGAGTGACAGATATCCTGAATTTGAATCTTATTACTAGCATAAAACAAATTTCAAATTCCAAAAAGAGAAGGAAGATCCAAATTCCATATTTAAAGATAAAGCTCTGAACTCAAACCAAGAAAATCTTTGCAGTAAGTTTAAAACATGTCTGACCATCATTTGTTTCCCATTAACTGTAGCATTCCCAGTGGATAAACAGAGCTTCCCATTCAGTATGAGAAAACAGAAAGCAGCCAGAGTCACCAAATAAACATTTCCTCTCCAAAAGGACCACTTAGAAATGCTATAAATGGGATTCAGAGGAACTTGTTGCAGATGGGCTTTGCATGGACATTAAAAAAAAAAAGAAACAATGGCAAACAGAAAAGGAAAAATCCAATCCTGGGATAACAAGGTAATATTTCCCAACCTTCCTCCAAAAAGAAGGCAAACATTTCAAAATCGTTTTAGTGAAATGAACTAGAGTCACATAGACTCTATAGTATGTTCTAAGGAAGGAAGGAAAGAAAAAAAGAGAAAGAAAGGAAGGAAGAAAGGAAGGAAGGAAAGAAGAAAGAAAGAAAGAAGAAAAGGAAAAGAAGAAGCATTTTAAAGTTTTAATATGTGCCTGGAAGTGTGCTAAGTGCCAAGATACAAATATAGGCAAGCAAGATAATCACCAACAAGAAGTTCATATTTTAATAGGGCAAGACAAGATATTTAGTGGCACAAGATATAGAAGTAGGGTGCTTGTAAATGTCCAAGAAGTTTTGTGGTGGGACCAGGACCAGGAAAGGTCAGTTAAAAGCTCTCCAGTCAGAAATCAGGGTCCAAGTTGTAAGAGGTGGTGGACAAAGAAGAGTCCAGAGTATGAGTGGCATGGTTTAGATATGGCTGGGAAATATCATAGTAGACTCAGGGCCTGGGAAATCCCCTACGCCTAACAGTCTGAGTACAGGTTGGGGAGGGTGAGGCATACTAGAAACAGTGAAGGAAGTGGGGTTTCAAGACAGATACCATGCCTGGGCTAGATGTCTAAGATGAAAGCTCACTATCAGAGCCTAGGGTCTGAGTTTTCAATACTTAAAAAAGAGAAATGAAAGCAGTTATCCGCTAAAAAGATAACCAACCTAGCATAGCAATAAGCTTTTACTGTTCTTTCCAATGTTTCCTTGACCACAAAATTGGAACTAACAAAGATCTACTCTCCTTATTCTGCCCAGAACTCTGTATCAGCTCATACAACTCTTCCTAGGTTTCTCTGAATCCATCATTTTTGTCTTCCTTATGGTTCAATAATAATCCATTACTTTCATATACCGTAAATTGTTTAGCCATACCCCACTTGATGGGTTGGGTACCCATTTTGTTTTTTGTTCTTTGCTACAATAAAAGGCACTAAAGCACTGTTATCA